TTCTCCCAATTCGAAACATCAGATGTGACTAACTATCGTCCTATCGCTCTTTTAAGTATTTTCTCAAAAATCTTTGAGAAACTAGTTAACGAGAGAATGGCTAACTTTTTGTTGAATTTTAGGATTCTTACTGACTGCCAGCACGGTTTTCGTAAAGGTAAGTCCACACAGTCAGCTGCCTGTAGTTTTGCTGAAATCATCTATAACTCCCTAGACAATGGTATGCACGTAGCAGGAATATTTTTTGACCTCTCACGTGCATTTGACTGTCTATCTTATGACTTTATTGAAACCAAACTTATAAATCTAGGATTTAGGGGTGTATTTTTGCAATGGCTCAAACATTTTCTTTCAGACCGTACAATGTTGGTCAAAATAAAAGATACACTACCTGATCCTCAACCAATCAGTTCAGGAGTTCCTCAAGGCTCTGTCCTGGGACCGCTTATCTTTCTATTATTCGTCAATGATCTACCCAAATACTTCAACATCAACAGTCTCACTCTCTTTGCTGACGATACCTCGTTAGCGGTGTCAGCACACAGCCTAGAGGAATTAAAGTCATCAACGGAAAGGTTTATAATACACTTCTCAGATTGGTGCAAGTTAAACAATCTGATTGTTAACTTGAATTAAACAAAATTTATCCATTTTAGTTCTTCCATCGGTCTTGATAAACAGCCTACTGTCTTTGATATTAGAGGGGTGGAATTGGTATCAACGAATTTTACAAAATTTCTAGGTGTCTATGTGGATGATTGCTTAAGATGGTCTGAACACATTACAGTCACTTGTAAAAAAGTTAACCGTCCTATGCTCTCTCCAGAATAAAACATTTTATGCCGTTGCATACCTTGCTGAACGTATATTATAGCTTGGTCTACAGCCATTTAAGCTACAATGTGGTTCTTTGGGGATATGCCACCAACAAAGATAGGGTTTTTATTTCCCAAAAAAAAAAATTATCAGAAAATTATTTGATATCCCATGGAGAGAATCGTGCAAACAGCACTTCATATCATATCAAATCCTGCCATTCCCTTGTATTTACATATTTAAATGTTTATCCACGATAATATAACAAAATATAACACAAATTCTTCTTACCACAGTTACTCAACCAGAAATGGAAAATTGTTAAGTATTCCTAGACACAGATCCTCTAAATTTGAACAGTCACCCAAATATATGGGAATAAAATTATTCAATCACCTACCTGATCACTTTAAAACCATGAGTTTGATGTCATTTAAAAGAGAAGTTAAAAATTTGCTTCTGTCTAAGGCTTATTACAGTGTCAGTGAATTCCTTTTAGACGACTTTAGCTGATTGCGGTCCAGACTTTCATCCAGATTTTATTATTTTATTATACATCCAATTTTGACTAATCTTGTTTTTTTTTCTTTATATTTTATACATTTTATACTTTAAAACTACTGAGATATTTTATCTTAATGTATGTTTATTTTTTTTATACTATTTTAACGTGTTGTACTGACATGTCCTATACGTTGTTAACGTCTAAAAGAATAAATAAATATTATTATTATTATTATCATCATCTTGGTCAATGTTAGGATTTATACATTTAATAATTTCGGTGCAGGCTAATTTATCTTCTCGGTTGTTTTCGTTTTCAGGAAGGTTAAAAATAATCACATTTTTTTTTCTTGATTCCCTGTCTGCGATTTCGGCAATCACTTCACTCATTTGGAGGGCGGGAGGTTCCAGAATCTGCTGCTTGTTCTTCAGGGCTTCAATTTCGTTCTTTAGATCTGCGATTGATTTAACTATAGCAGGAATCTGCTGTAGGGCACAGCTACAATCATTGCATAAAAACCGGAGGACCCTATTTTTCAGTTGCATACACTTGATTTCGGTGGCTGATAATTCAGAGCAGAGTGAATTCGAGTGAACAGCCCTCTTACAGAAATCACACTCGAAATACGCTTCATCTCCCACATCATTCGTACATTTGCAGCACTTTAGTGGCAAAGTATATCACAAGCTTGTAGTTTCAGAATGATACGCACCAAATGATAAAAACTAGTCACTGTATGCACACACTACAACTCGCCTCTAGTAACTGTAACTCGCCTTTGGTAGGGTACGCCTCTGGTAGGGCGCTCTACCCACTTGTATTAACAGATGTGGCTAATTGCAAGCAATTTACGACTTAGTCCTAGTACACTGAATCAATTTTTAGTTTTAACTAACTCAAAACTAATTTCTATTTTCACAAAGTTATTCACGGTACTTTCACTGTCGTTTTGATGAGAAATTTGAAAATTTTCTTCTGGAAAAAAACCACTAAATCTTTAGTTTCTGTCGGGACAGCGGCGATGCACGTGTAAACTTATTCACAGATGGTAAATAAGCGCCATTTTCTAAATAATGGATCAAAAACAATTTCTTTTCTTAATTTTATACTGCTTCTTGATGGTAAAGAATACCCTTCAAGCGAAGCAAACGCTTGAAAAGTATTATAAGGACTCGGCTCCATCAGAAACAACGTTTTTGCCGACTTCAAACGTGGTCGAAGAGACACCGATGATGCAGAAGGCAGTGGACGTCCAAATGAGGCAGTAACACCAGAAAACAAAAAATCCACAATATCGTTTTGAATAATCGAAAAGTAAAGTTGCGTGAATTAGCTGTAATGTAAAGCTATCAAAAAAACGTGTTGGCTTTATATTGCATGAGCATTTGAGCATGAGCTCACAATCGTGCGAGCTCACAATCGACTAAAAACAAGAACATCTTGATAATTCTGAGTAAGAAATGTCGCTCGAATGGAGAGGTCATTGCTGAAACTGTTGTCTATTTTGAGAAAAAAAAAAGGATCGTTCAAACTGTACAGTACAACATTGTACTGTACAGTTTGCTGATGATACGTCCTTTTTACCGAGTTCTTCTTCTTTGTGAAGGGTTATCTGACCAGGCTGCTATTTCAGTCTGTTTTCATTTCCCTTTGCACAACAAAAATGATCCTTATCGTCACGTGTAATGATCCTCCATGACAACAGGAGACGTTCAGGACAGTGGTTGGACACCGATGCGCCACTCAGGCAGTTCCCAAAGGCGAAAACTCACCAAAAAAAAGACCATGATTACTTTATGGTGGTCAGCGGCTTGTGTGATTCACTAGAACAGAGCTAAACAACCACAGCGGAGTCCTATTGTGGGGAAATCAACGAAATGTACCAAAAATTGCGTCCGTAGCAGCCGGCACTGTTCTGCACATTTAAAAAATCAGCGTCCGAAAATTAAACGAATTGAGCGTCGAAGCACTTCGATAATTTTCTCACCAGTAGATTATATCGCAATATGCTAATCTAGACAATATAAGGATTTGGCAAAGTTTCAACTTCAATTTGGAAGTCATAATATCTCTACTTTGATGGAGTTGACGTAAGATACTATACGAGCTACGACAAAGTGAATTTATTATGTTTGTGAAATTTCAGATCAGCATCTAGCAACAAACCGAAGTTCTTGCTTTCTGTAAGTATTTGTAGTAAGTCTTGTCCAAACAAATTTGATTTCAATAAGTCATTTTTTTAGTCACTCAAACCTTTTCGGGGGTTTTTGTCTATTGGCCAAATTCAATTATCCGGATATTCAATTATCCAGACATTCAATTATCCGAACCAACGTCAGTTTCAATTGATCCGGATAACTGGGGTTCTCTACTGTATTGCATACTCTCCACGTAAGATGAAATATTTGACTTAGGATGGAGTTCCCAAACTTGATGTTTATTCAAACTACAAGTTGTTTTGTAAATACTTATATTAACAGCATACAAATTACTAAAATTAAGACATGAAATTTTTATTGCATACCTACCACAAAAAACACATATTGCATAAAACTGATTGTAATGATGGTGTCTACAAATTACGATTACAGGTAATGAGTGTTATTTGAAAAAACTTTGAACAGTATTTTAATAAAAGAACGAACTTAGTTTATATTAAACAAACTTTCCCAAAAAATTATTTGGGAAAACATTTTTTTCCAAGTATTTATGAAAATTGTTCCTGAAGAAACACATATTTGATATATTGTAAGTGATTAGAAAAAAATTCTCAATTAAATTAAAACGAATATATGTTTAGGTAGAGATTAATTTTTGAGAATGGTGCTGAAAAGGCAAGTGTCTTATTCCGAAACATCGATGTTCACTATTGAGGGGTGACGATGTTCCATTTGAGTAAAATATCACCTATTTAAACACTATTTGTATAGCAATCTCTGAGTCGATTCCATAACGAATATTTGAATTAAACTCAATGGGAAAAAGTGTTTTATGTATAATTCAATGTTAATATAAAATTAGTTGTTTCAAAAGTTTCTTTTTCTTCTGTGTAATTCTATGTTTATATGAGAGTAGTTGTTTTGAGAGGGCTTTTATCTTCCAGTTTTGTGGTTGAAAGTTACTTTTTTGCATGATCAGCACATCTTTGTGAAGGGTTTATTTCGAAATTATTTGCTTTCTTCCTTCATTTGTAAGATTCCCACATGTGTTAGGAATCACACATTAAAAGGTAAGACCTCGTTAGTCCTTAGCTCGCACAAGTTTCTCAACTTTTGAGAGTGGTCGTTCGTTTGGGGGCGACAGCTGATTAACGGAAAACATATTTTTTTCGAACAGATTTTTTATATAAAGGTGAAGAAGTAGAAAGGCAAAAACCTTTCTTTCCCAAAAATTATTCTCTCTCAAAAATATAGCGCTTTCAATTCAATCTGTTGATCGCTGTTTTGTGTACTGGACTTTGCCAAGGATTAAAAAATGAAGACATTATTGTTAATTTTATATTTTGAGATAATAAATTCATTTCATCAACTTCTCGATTTTCGATACCAAAAACAAATTTTCAAAAGGTAACTGTACAATAAAATATTTTTTCTGATTTTCATGAGTTTTGGAAGACTTCAAGTAGATTTAACACTGAAATGGTTTTTTTCTCAGTATATGCATAAAAAAGCANTTCCTCAGGGTTCAGTTCTTGGGCCAATCTTTTTCCTTGTTCATCTGAATGATCTCAGTAAACTCGACATTCGAGGATCATTTACAATGTTTGCGGATGATACCACATTACTGTGGCATGATAATAATGTTGAACTTCTGAAATCTAACATTTCCAAGGACTTAGAAAAGGTTAAACAATGGTGCGATGCAAACTTGCTTTGCTTCAACATTGATAAAACTAGCATATTGACATTTAAGTTCATGTATAATTACCTTTATCTAGGCAGGTATATTGTTATCAACAAATCACATACCAAATTCTTAGGAATCTACTTAGATGATAAATTAAAATTTGAGGAACACATAAGAAATCTAAATAAAAAACTAGCCTCAGGTTGTTATGCTATTAGAGTGATAACTAATGAACTGGGCTTTAATGCTGGTATAATGGCCTACTTCTCCCTTATTGAGTCTCACCTGCGATATGGCATTGCCTTTTGGGAATTTGAAAAGAACCAGTTGATGAAATCAATTTTTGTGTCTCAGAAAAGAGCAATTCGATACATTTCTGAAAGTAAACCTAGGGACCACTGCAAACCACTCTTTCTCAAACGTGGATTAGTAACTGTATACTCCATAAAAATTCCATTATATTTGAAAGTAAAAAGTTATATAACCATTCACTTAGTCTATCATTTATTCCATTATTTCGAAAGACCGTTGAAAATGCACTTGTGAAAAAGGCATTCTACAGTATACAGGAGTATTATGTTGACAATCTGGCTTAGTCCTGAAAAGCCCTAAAGTTGTCGCTTATAATTTTTACCGTAACTTGGATCATCTTTGCTTTTATCATTCTAAAAATGTTTGTACATATAATGGGTGTTTTTTATAGAGGTATAGAACTTTAAGTTGGCATTACTTTTCAAGATGGCGACCGATTTAACAGTTGTCAAGTGATTTATTCTTAGTTTGGTTTGGCAATTCATCATGAATAGACTCACGCCTGAAGAACGCTTGCAAATAGTACAATTTTATTTCGAAAATAATGGTTCTGTGCGGAAAACGAAGAGCCATGATTACTAACTTTTTCATTCCTGAATTGAATAACCATGATGTCCAGGAGATGTGGTTTCAACAAGACGGTGCAACATGCCAGACAGCTCGTGCCACAATAGATTTATTGAAAGACACGTTTGGTGACCGCCTAATTTCACGTTTTGGACCTGTGAAGTGGCCTCCAAGATCTTGTGATTTAACACCGCTAGACTACCTTCTGTGGGGCTATGTAAAGTCATTGGTCTATGCGGATAAGCCACAAACGCTTGACCATTTGGAAGACAACATTCGCCGTGTTATTGCCAATATACGGCCACAAATGTTGGAAAAAGTCATCGAAAATTGGACGTCCAGATTGGACTACATCCGCGCCAGCCGTGGCGGTCATATGCCAGAAATCATATTTAAAATGTAATGCCACAAGATTATCTTTCGGATAAATAAAATTCATGTCAATCGAATAATCCATCGTTGTTTTATTGCAACTTAAAGTCTTAGTTCTAATACTCTATTTATAAGATATTAATTTTGATATTAAAGTATATCTCACCTCGACTTCATATGACTATGATTATATTTATATTTTTTATGTTTATAATTGTATTTATTTTTATATTTATGTATTTATATTTACATTTTGATTTATATTTATGTTTGTATGTATATTACTTATATATTTAGGTTTCATGTTTATACTTACTATCCATTCTATATAAACATGCTTTGTCAATAAGGTTTATTCTTGGACAATAAAGCATATTTTGATTTGATTTGACTATTGGTTTAGTATATTTATTCGCTAATTAGTTGCGAAGAAAAATATTTTTTCGTCCCTTTTATTTAAAAAATACATGGTGTCTCGCTAACTTAATATGAAGTTAGCGATACCACTTCTTTATTATAAAGTTTTCCAGAACTTTGACTAGAACATTGGTTTGGTATATTTACTTCGCTAATTAGTTGCGATAGGAAATATTTGACTTACTCTTTGTTTGAAAAACTACATGGTGTCCCGCTGACTTAACATCGATACAACTTTTTTCATTAATCAATATGAAAACAGCCACGAGTTCCAGACATGGATTTGTCGAACCGACGCGAGAGATCTCCCATGAATTAACTCAATTACCTAAAATTTACTCCGATGTTTTAGTAAGTTATATTAATATATGTTAATGAGATAAAAGTCACACCCACGAAAGTTTTGAGAGAGTTACGAAATCATAAAAACAAGAGTGTGGGTTCATTTTCTGCCCAACAGAAAGTCTAACATATGAGCTTTGATCAACTACATAGTTTACATAGAATTCTCCAGATAAAGTTTTCATCCACGAAAATTTTGTTGAAATTGAGTCGTGACTGTTTTCTCACTGATTTTTTATTATTGTTAATTGTGTTAATTGAATCTAATAATGTCCTGATAACTACTTATAGGTCCTCTTTGTCCCAAGATTATGATTTATTTTTCAATAAAGTTGAATCAATTATCACAAGAATTTCAGATCAATACAAAAGGATAATCGTTGTTGGAGATTTCAATATTGACATAAATAAAATGAACTATATTTCTTGAACTTGGTTGAATATTTTGGATTCTTTTGGTATAAAACCCAAGATCACTACTCCCACTAGAATCCAAACCATACCAAACGGGTTTAGATGGTATGAAACAAGCTCTACAACTCATTAACTGGCATATTTTCTATGATGATAAAAATCCATTAGAAGTATTAGCATAAACCCTCAATGATACTTATAGTAATCTTGTTTCCAAATTTTTCCCTTTGAAGAAATCTAAAAATAAATATGCCAAAAGACGAATAAACTTTTTCGATGATGATTTGCGCCAAATGAGAAACACAATGAATACATTTCAAACAGTCAGCATCTCTTCAAAAAATCCTAAAGATAAAGGCTATTTTCAAAAAATACAAACGAAGATACCAAAGTGAATTGAATTTGGCAAAAAGAAACTCATACGACCATTTTATTCAAATGTCAAATAATAAAGTCAAAGATACATGGAGACTGATCAATTTTGAACGAAACTTTTCAAATATGGTCAATAAAAATACTATTACTATCAATCCAAATGAATTTAATATATTTTTTTCAAATATAGCCAAAAATATAATTAAATCTCTTCCAGCATGTAATACCAGTACATTAGACTATTTAAGTAGTTTTTCCAAACCGTGTGATTCTTTTTTCAAGCTTCCTATGCTTCATGAAGATGTAGTGGACACAATAATATGACATTTATCATTTAAACAGTCGAATCCTCAAAGGAACTATAAACATTCTTGTAGAACCTCTAACAGTTCTCATAAATCGCTGTTTCAGTGAAGGACATTTTCCGGATGTATTTAAAATCAGCAAAGTAATACCCATACATAAAAAAAGGAGACTTGAATTCCCCTGATAATTACCAACCTATTTCAATTAAACCTTTTTTGGGAAAAATCGTTGAAATTATCGTTGAAGAGAGATTAATGCTATATCTGAATAAACACAATATTCTACATTAACATCAATTTGGATTCATCAGAAATAGATCCACCACCGACGCAGTGCTTGAAGTCATCTAACAGGTGATTAGATACGTAGGAAATGGAGACCATACAGTTCTAACATTGTGGGATCTGAGCAAAGCTTTTGACTGTGTAAACCATCATTTACTAATAGAGAAACTTGAATTTTATGGTATCAGAGGATTAGCTTTAAAATTCTTCCAGTCTTATCTCTCATCTAGAAAACAGACAGTATACATAAATGGTAACTTATCAGATGAAAGGTCTATGAATAATGGAATACCTCAGGGACCTACCCAGTACAGTAATCTGTTTTGCCGACGACACCACAATGTTACAATGAAATTCTGATAACTCAAATTTACTTGTAAATGCCAAAGAAACCGAAGACAAAGCAGAATACTGGTTTACATCCAACAAACTAATACTAAACAGGGAAAAAACTCAGAAAATAACTATATCGTCTAATACCAGGGTAACAATCAAAGCTCAAGTTAAATTATTAGGTATAATTATAGATGAGTCACTTCGATGGGAATCACATATTGACCATCTCTGTAAAAAACTCTCAGCACAGTTGTTTCTACTTCGCCAGTTGAAAAAAGCATTGAGCCATAAAACACTTCTCATTTCGTATCATGCACTTTTTCACTGTCATCTTTCATATGGGATACTCCTTTGGGGTAGATCTAGTTATGCGATCAGAGCTTTTCGCATGCAGAAAAAAGCCATGAGGATTATAGCTGGAGCTTCATTTGACGCACACTGCCAACCACTTTTTAGAAAATTGGAAATAATGTCTTTGCCCTGTATGTTGATTTTCTACTCACTGTTAGAGATACATAAAAACAAACTACTACTCTCTAAACACTCATCATCATCATCATAATTATGAAACTAGAAATGCGGAACAACTCAGACAGCCAAGATTTAGACTTGAAATGTCATTACGAAATTCCCTGGACATTAAATTATTCAACAAACTTCCATGTAATGTGACTGAATTGAATTTTAATTTGTTCAAAAGGAAAATCAAAGAGTACCTTATACGAAATTGTTTTTATTCTGTACATGATTTCATGCAAAGTACATATTCAGACTAATTTTTTATATTACTATATTTACGAATCTTTCTTTTTTATAATTTGATTATTTATTTGTTGACAATTTTGTAAATCATCTTCAAAATTTAAATTTAATGATGCTTTTATATTGTTCTATCTAATTGCACACTAATTTGTACCAATTGTCACAAATGTATATTCATAACGTAATTGAATAAAAATCTATCTATCTATCTATTGAGTTTTCAAGATCTTTGACTATACCATTAGCATGTTCTAGTTATTAGCGAATTACTTGCGAAGGAAAATATTATAATTTCCTGTCGTTTAAACAAATTTGCTAATTTGTCACCCCTGTTAAGCTAGCAGAACCACTTTGGAATTTTACATTCATTTTCAGGCCATAATTTAAGGCTAATTTTTTATTCAATTGCCGAATTTTTTGCTCTTCGTTCAACATAGATATCATGGGTCCTGCTAGCTTAACGCTAAACTAGCAAAACCCACCCTTATAAAAAAATATTTTGTCAAATCGGATTCCATCATAATTTCTGGCTCATTTCAGGCACATCTTTTCTCTTATCGCCGATTATCCAGGAGTTCTATTTTTTGAAAACATGTTGGGTTTTGCTGGCTTAACCGTTAAGCTAGCAGAACCAAATCTAAATTCTTCACTTTTTAGAAATTTAGCGAGACATGTATTTTTTAAAAAAAGGGCTGAAAAAATATTTTTCTCTGTTAGCGAGACAACATGCCTATTTTTAAAAAAAGGGACGAAAAAATATTTTTCTCCACAACTAATTAGCTAATTAATATACTAAACCAATGGTCTAGTCAAAGTTCTGGAAAACTTTATAATAAAAGAGTGGTATCGCTAACTTGATATCAAATTAGCGAGACAACATGTGTTTAAAAAAAAAGGGGCAAAAAAATATATTCTTCTGCAACTAATTAGCGAATAAATAACGGCAAATTATTAAATCATTCATTTTGCAAATTTCGAAAAGTGTCTCGTCAACTTGATATTATACATGAGGAAATGTATATTCATACACAAGCTATTTACTGGTCATAAAGATTCCAATATATAATTAAACAAACTGTTTTAATGTAAACCAATCAAACATATTAATAATAAGTCAAGGTATATTTATTCATATTTTTTCTTTCTTGAATGGAATATTCAAAATTTGATTAGATATTTAAATATAAATTGTAAAAAATTCAAGGGGAAATGAATACTCACTACTGAGATTTTTTTGTAATTAATTATCATGTTACTATTTTGATTGATAGGTAGAATCGGAATGTCTGGAATAAAATAATCTAATGAAAGCCTTTTTCACACACTATAACTAAAGCACACTTTTGGCATGCTTTTCGCTAAACAAGTTTGCATCATCAGGAGATGATTGAAACTGAATCTTTCAGCTATGTTAGAGCATAAAAGTTACAAGTGTTTTGCATGTTCGGCAATTTTCTACTATAGAAAAAAATTTATCAAAGAATTCTGTGTGAAAAATGGAATTAAGTGCTCAAAAACACTAGAAATTTTGACAGTGGCATACGGTGATTGTACTCTGAGTCGGAAAAATGTTTCCAAGTGGTACAAGCTTTTCACAGAAAGCCGAAAAGATGTAATTCTGAAGATTTTGTCAATCGAGACAGAATGAAAAATATCAACTGGCAGATATCATAGTAACAAAGCAATAAAATTGAAACCATCTGATCATATTGAATGGGATTGGAAAATTGAATATAGGATAAAGAAGATAACTTTTGTCTGATTTCTACTACTAACAAATGAAAATCGTAGTAGAAATCAGACAAAAGCTATTTTCTTTATCCTATATGAAAATTTTTTAGTTTCAATTCGAAATTTCAAGAATGTGTCGAAATAAAGTTATAATTTTGAATTGATAAACAAATAACTGATAATTGAACATTTTATTTTACTTTCTAAAAATGCACCTATGCTTTTCATCAAATCGATGGAGTAACCAAAGAATTAAAGAACGGTACACTGATGTATCTATCAACAGTTCATTTTGAAAATTTGCTTCAAAATTCAGAGAAAATTACTGTCATTGACACCAGATGCGACAGTGCATTGCCCAGACTAGAAACAATAAATGAAAATATGTGACCATTCTGCTTGTCCCTACTAGATGTGTTTTGTTGGTATCAATCATATTCCGATTTTTAGTTTGTTACACTCAGTTTAGTAAATTCTACTACTTCTATATTCTCAGTACTTATATTTAATATGAATTTATTCAAAATAAATAAGTCATCAATTGAACATGATAATTGAAAAATTACTGAATGCAAAAAACCTTCATCAAACTAGAGTACCTGTGGTGGGTTTTGAATCATGAGTCATATCTTCACCCTGTATATCAAGGAACTCATTAAGAGGGCCTCCACTTATTTCTTCTATACATTTTTCTGATTTGGATTCTTCAATGACACTTTCACAATTAATCTGATCTATATCATATTTTTCTTCGAGGTTATTGGTGACCATTTCAATACCAAACATATCATATTTTCCAGATTCACCGACCATTTCAGTTTCACCTGTTTCACATTTCATGATATTTGTTTCAAAAATCACTTCATCTCCAACAGATTCAAGTTCTCTCTTAATATTTCTTCCACAATCATCGGCAGCCATTATCTTTGAACATTGAACAAGGAAGATTTGTTATGTCTTATGTCGATTGCCAAAGAGACCGTGGTTGCACGTGACTAAATTATTATCTGTCAACGATTTTTTCATCTCTCTTCTTGCTTTACTCTCTCTAGCCAAATTAATCAAAGACGTACGTCCTTACTGGCGGGTAGCGGAAGTTAGCACTCGAAATAAGTGCGACGAGAATAAAGTACAACATTTCTTAGTGAATGCCCACATTCGCCTGTTCATCACTTGGCAACGCTGCGCTGGTGAATTCAAAGACAAGGGTTGAAATACAACCGATGTTTTCATTCCTTTCTCAGTGGCGGGGCCAGAGATCGCGTGGCAGTGCGCGTTAAAAATTGAAAATACGAAATGCAAATTTTAAATTTTATTTTAGGTTTCTCTTGTTTGCAGTTGAGTTTGTGATTCCAAAGAATGTAGCTTTGCCGAATTTATATTAAATTTCTAACTGAATAGGTTTCTGAAATTAGTATATTTGATGCATTTTATGCTTGGCCATACTTCTATAGAATAGCTTCTATAGAAGAGTTACGAAAAGTTTATTTTTTTGTAACGAGCGCAAGTTACAAAAAAATGAAATCCTATCGTGTTACATACAAGATTTTTTTATTTCATTAAAACGTTGTTTTCATTATTTTTCGATCATAAAGTTGTAACGTTTTTTTTGTTCAGAGTATAACGCGAACTATTTTATGAAATTACCTGTATACATGTCATATTCCATCACGATCAATTCATTTCGTACTGTCCTAGTGATGCTCTTTACTGATAGGTGCCACCAGCCAACAATGAATTCGAACTTAATATTTATCATTTATTATGTTGTCTATACCTAAAACATTCCAAGTTCTACCTGTCTCTATTAGATGGCACACGACTTCACTCTTCCGAATCCCAAACTCCATTTCTGTCCTCTGAAAATATTTTTGAATATTGTGGATAGTTACCAAGGTGATGTGATATGATAAGCGGCTTTGCCTCTCTCTGCCTCAGCAAATTGCGTTTATGCATTATTTCTTAATTGGATTTGGTATGCTGTATGGCTATTGCTTTTTCATCACTTTGTAGATCATTTAATAGTAGGTTTTATACCTATTTGGAATAGAAACCTTCCTTTACTGGGGTAAGTTTTTTTAGTCCATAGTTTTTTTATAATTTCATTTGCTTAAAAAAAAAAGGGGAATTGGCCTATTTTCCAATCACGTGAAAATTTATTCCTAATTCTCTCGTAGGGTTTCTTCTGGAGAATACCAACTCAGTCAGCTGAGAAAAGCTTCCGACTTCAGAATTTGTTATATAATAAGTTTGATCGACTCCAGTATCCGAATCACCTTCGTCAGCCGAATCCAAAGTATTGGTACTAATTGGCAGAATCATATTTCTACATTTCCTGAGAACTCCTCATCTACTCCATATTCATGTAACAGCGGAACATTTTTTTTATAAGAGCACTGCTACAAGTTGTCGTCATCTCTTTAGGACATTACCAAGAACTCCAAGCACCATCATACATTGAGGGAAATTAAGGCCAGATTTTCGATATTTCCTGATTCATTATTTTTTTATTTGATTACCGATTATTAGATGATATTATTTTCTCCTCCGTAACTGATAATGAAAAATTATTGGCACTGATATATTTATCAGATGCAAGTCATTTAAAATAATTACTTTGAAGAATCAATCTTAATTTTTTTACAGCGAGTCATTAGAAGACTCACACTTGTTACGCTGAACATAGTACTATGAACAGGCGAGTTATATAATATAAATGTTGATTATATCTGACTTAGATCCTCCTAAACATTTGATTATTTGAATGTTCTGAATGAATGAGAATCGTTTATTTACATTTGTTTGATAGTTACATTACATTTGTTGGGTGTGTTTGTGTGGGGCCCTGCTATAGGCTAATGCCTCTTCAGGGTTGAATGTTCTAATTATTAAATGATATTTTATTTTAATGTTGTTTTCGTTTTTCAACAGAGATAGTGGAATATTTTATGTAGTCACTGGATAGTTTTTTTACGTCATATGAAATGAATTTTGTTTTCCGTGGTTGGCAAAATTCTGAAATACTACTGTTTTAAACCCGGTGGCGCCCGATTCAACATCAAATTTTTTTAGTTTCTTCCTACTCACGACCCAAAGAAGCTTCCTGACTAAGAGCTCCGTGCAAGTGTACGATTTGATTAAAAAAAAAGTTACAAAGTATCGAATCTACAAATATTTTCATTAATCAAGGATGCTATTCATCAAATAGCTTGTCACTTTGGCGTCTTCTTTATATTCATTTTGCTCCATTTACTTTGAGTGATTTCATAGAGGCAGAAGATATAGAGTAATGACTGATCAGAGTTCTCAATGGAAATTTGTTCTTGTGCTGTGTGATTTCCGAGTTGAAAAGTATGATAAAATCACTGAACCGAGACAAGAATGAACGAATGATATAAACATATAGTTATAAAAGGCACATTCGGTAATCATTTACAAAAAATAAAACATGTCATGATTGTTTACAAGAAGTGAGGCGTTTCGTTTTTGTTAATTTCATAAATATATTTTTTATATCATTCGGTAATTCTAAGCAAGGTTCAATCATTTTTCCTTACTTTTCAACTTGGAAATCACTCAACGCAAGTACAAATTCTGATTCAACACTACATCCAGCAATTTTTTGTCTTCTTTCACATTTCAAAATCACTCGAAACGAGTTGAATGAATTTATAAAATACGTCAAATCGACAAGTTATGTGATAAACATAATTGATTAGTGGAAATGAACTGTGACTAATACTGCCGCCAGTAGTAAAAAGGCGGCAACTACAATTTTTAGTGATTTTCAGATTTAACGGTCGGTAAGTTGGTGTGACTGTTTTCAACCTATATACGAACTTTAAAAGCGGTAAAAGTAGTCAGTATAGATAAAAAAGGCGAATCAAATTGGCCGTAAGTTCGGAGCGTCATCAGTTCAGGAAGTTAAAAGGCAGCAAGTAGTAAATATTTAGTGAGAAAGCGGTGACAGAAAATGTCAATTACCGCCTTTTTATTACAAACTCCTTGATTGATATATGTTAGTACTGACTGTTTTCTTGTCGGTGTCACAAATCGCGTTTATATTTTCTAACTTAGCGTAACATAGTAGTGGTCAGTTCAGTAAATGAGTGAGTGCTGAGTAGAATTGTCAATAAATAAAAATAGTGCAAAGAATCCACTTCTATAAATAGTGCATTTTGCTGAAATAATATTTCACTATAATGTCGACAAGTACAGGTCATCTTCTAGTGGCCTTAGCTAGAAATGAAAGCCTAATGTCTAACATTGTGAAGTGTAAATCAGCGAAAACAAATGAAATTGATGATCCTACTTTTTCTCCCCCGGACAAATCTTGATACCTAAATAGTTATAGTAGTAGTTTTCACTCTTCAAATCTTCCTTGCACGCGAAAGGAGCTGCAGGAATGACAAAATATCAATTGCGACAGTCCCAACACTATTGATAATATCAATATAGAAATATGTGATGCAGATTTTCAACAAAATGATGACCTAGGTAAAAATCATTTTTTATATTACGAACTGATTATCTAATTGACACTCATTATTTCAAGATGTTGAATCTAATAAGATAACCGATTGTACTGAAATTAGAGAAGTTATATTTGCAAGAACAACTTCAACGTCCGATCAGCTAGATGTTCCCAATGATATTCAAACAACTCCAATTGATGTTAATGGTAAGTTTATAACATACTACTTGTGGTTTGGGGGGTGGTTATTATTTACAATATTTGCAGACAATAGTTGGAATATTGATACCAACAGCATAAATGAATTTATGTCCGAGAGAGTAAGGATGATAGCAATTCAGGCGTCTTCAAATATGGTGAAAATGAGATACCATCAGGCTCAGCTGTGATATTGAAGGATACTAATTCTTTAAACATGAGCATGTACCATTTTTACATGTCTCTGAGAATAGCAAGATTAACGTTATACAGCATATTATAATAATACCGACACCAATCGTGAAAGTAGATTCTGAAGACCAATTCAATCAAGAACATATTATGGATCCCTCGAATAGTCTTTTATTGGTTACCAAAAAAGGTAAATCCAGAAAAAGGCGTACTCTTTCGACGCCACTTGATGCGAGAAAAAAAGCCAAAAAAAAAAGAAAAACGAAAAGAATATTACGTTGAACCTCCATGTTCAGTCAATTGTAGAAGAAAATGTATCTCGCATATAGATGAGAATTGGAGGATCCAGATAAATGATGAGTTCTGGCAAATGAGCTGGGATGAACAACGTCAGTTTATTTTGAATAATACTCAAAGGTTGAACGTTGAAAGGCAAACTAACAGAGTTGATGTTTCTGCTAGGAAAAATAGCTACACCTATTACATGAAGAATGAAAATGGTACCATTTTTCAAGTATGCAAACCATTCTTTCTGACTACCCTTGGTTTCAAGCCAAGCAACGACAAAGTTGTTCAGAACACTCTCAATATGTCTGTCAATCACCTTACGTTTACACGCGATATGCGAGGTTTGTATATCATTTCGGTGTTTAATACAATTTTCCGCCTACCTCTATCCGAAGTATACATTTCCTGGCCTCAAAGTAGGAGGCAAAGTCGTACTTTGTTATTTGAGGGAGGCGGAAAAATCATATGTATAACATGGGGGTTGAGTGCATTTTCCTCCCTTGAATGATCAATGCCCTCCGCTATGCGACGAAAACTTCATACTCGGGAAGAAAAGTAAAACTTTTCTCCCTTATCATACAAATAGCTATTTTTCAATCAGTATTACTTTTCAGGAAAGAAGCCTTCTCCAAAAAAACTGGACAGAACTAAGATACGGCTCCATATTGAATCATTTCACCCCTCAATCTCTCATTATCGTAGAGAAAATGCTCCCAATAGACGGTATCTACCAAGTCATTTAACTCTGACATATATGTGTAAGGAATTTAATAAGGATAATCCAAATTTTGAATATTCGTATGACGTATATAGAAATTTTTTGAAAGAACTCAATATTTCCTTTGCCAAACTTGGCCACAAAGAGTGTGAGATTTGTGGAACATTTGATCAACACGAACACACCAAAGATAATCTGCAAGCAGATTGTACCACTTGTAATTCATACAGCTGTCATAAGGATAGAGCTAATAAATCCTGAGATCAGTATCGTAAAGATGCCAATATGTTGAATTGAATAGAATATCAGACGTGTGCTTCTCTGCGGAACTGCAGAAAGTCATAATGCTACCACGCATGGATCAATATAAAATTGTCCTATTTACCCCTAGAATCGTCTTATTCAATGAAAGTTTTGTTCCTGTAGGTGTACATCAACGTCAATTAAATCCCATTGCCATTCTATGGCACGAAGGAATTTCTGGAAGGAAGAAAGAAGACATAATCAGCAGCTTTTATGCATTTTTACTCAAAAACAGGAGTGCTACCACGATAACCCTCTGGTTAGGCAACTGTTCGGCACAGAACAAAAATTGGTGTTTCTTCACGTATCTGGTCTATATTGTTCATAATTGTACTGAGATTAGTGCAACACAAATTTACATAAAGTATTTCAAACCAGGACATACATTTATGAGCGCAGATAGTTTTCATCACCAGGTGGAACAAGCGATGAAGCGTTATGGAAATATTTATGACTTTAGCGATTTTGAAAAAGCAGTACAAGACGCAAATTGCAAAAAGGTGTCGATTATTTCCATGCAGCCAAAAGATTTTGCAAATTGGCTGAATTGCACTTCACAGGCCAAACTTAAAAAAATTAACCCTCGGCCATATCTGAATAGCATAGTTCAGGTTTGTGCAACTAGGGGTAAGAATACCCTCAGATACTGGACGGATTTTGATGGTGAAGCAGTTGAATTGAATTTTTTAACAGCAAAATCAATTAAAACAGGTATAACAAAACCACAATTTCAAAGTGTCTTTCGTGGTATACCTCAAAATAAAAAAGATACCATCATCACGAATTTATGTCCACTAATGCCGGAGAACAGGAAACAGTTCTGGCATAAAATGCCCGTTGAGGACGTTGCCGATTTGAACGTTGTTCAAGAATAAAAATATTATATTAATTTTGTGTCTAATAGATTTATTTTCTTATATTTTGCGTTCATTTTATTCAAGTGATCTGAGAAATTCGAACAATGATTCGTATTTTTGGTACTTGCCGCTTTTATATAACGTATTACCCTACTTTTTGTCTATTATCAAAGTAGTTGAAACGGATGCATGTGATACAATGTAAATGTTGCCGCTTTTATGTTACGAATCGCTCCAGGCTCCAAATAGTATCTACGTAGACGAAACGATGCATGTGTTATAACTTCAAAAATATATATTCCAGAACACAAACACTTCCATATTTTTCACTAACGAAACGAAATATTTTGAAGTGCTTTCATTTCTTTCGTGGCCTAGCACAAAAACGTTTTTCGCCATTTTCTCAAAACTGGACTGGTGGTAATTGCCACCTTTTTGCTACAGGCGGCAGAATACTCAAAGAGAGTTTCATTGAAAACAACAAAATATAACGTAGAATGAGCGAAAATAAAATAAATCACATTTCTATGAAACAGCAGAACGTGTGGCTAGGAAAGTGTGGCTAGGAAACTGTGGCTAACTTCACACTAATGTAACTTCACAACGTTTCGAATGTTAATATACACAATCGTCTTCGGGTGATGACTGGACTGATTCCTCCGTGAGCTGACTATATGTCATTTAAGTACTTTCCTTTCCAGTATTCTCATGGTTCCATATTATGAAGGTGTCATCAACGTATCTCAACAAGACACAAGGTTTCTTGTGGGCTTCTTCAATGGCCAGAGTTTCAAACCACTCCATATATATGTTGGCTATGACTGGTGAAAGTGGTGATCCCATTGGCAGTCCCTCATCTTGTGTAAAGAATTCATCCTT